ACTGCAAAGCCAGCTCTTTCCCAGTAAAAGTTTACACTTTCTGGAACTGCTCAGCCCCCCTGGCTGAGAGATCTGGGTGACTATATTGCCAAATGACACCATGACATTGCCACGCACTGCCACAATATACATATAAATAAGCACAATGATTAATGCTACTACTGGAGTGCCCGTGATCTTCATCTTTAACAAGTTTGATACACACAGCACCATACGTGACTATCACTGCGAGCACCACAGTTGTTCAGGTCCAATCGCTGTTAGGAGTGCAGGGGACACATCCGTCATGAGTCTGCCCCTGGTAGAGAAGCAGTACTGAAGAAACACCACAAGAGACTAATAAAAGAAAGCCTGTCTAAGCCAGTGCATTATTTTTTTTCAGGGAGAAAGAACTCGTGACAAAAACTTTCAAAGCCTTCTGAAGATGGAAGTTCCCCTCATTGTGCTTGTTCACCCCATTCAAGTAAACACTCACTTAAAAAGACTGGAATGCCGTGTTATGCTACCCTTGGATGACTCCTTCAGGGATGCAATAGTCTATAAATTGACACGGATGTTACTAGAGTATTTTCAGTGTACAGCATGGCATCTGTGGCCCTAATATCAGTATGCTGGGCCGTGCAATCCTGGACATCTCAGGGGGACAGACTTTAAGGGGAAAGCAAATGTGTTTTTTTTGTCCTTTGTTCTTGACAATCTCAAACTGTTGGTGGATTTGTTTGTGGAAGCAGCATTGCATTAAGTCAAGATGACTGCAAGGTTAACGGCAGTCACAGCCAGAAGGGTGCTGTGGCTCAGTGGTCAGTGGATACACCCTCAAAGCAGAAACCTATGCTCTATACATTTCACTAGAAAAATGCTCTTTGGCAAGATTCTGGAGGAGGCCATTAGGCATGGGGTAAATACGGCCTCATTCCACAAGCAAAAAAAGAAAGCATCAGTCCATTCTGGCCAACAAAAAGAAGCCAGATTGTACCAACTAGGAAGGGAGTTCTTCTAACCAGCCTGGCATTCAGGTCAGCCATTCTATATTAATCCCAGCTTTTTAGAGCTATGGGAAATGGGTTCTGAAGGTGCCCCAGCCACAATAGCTCCGATGACAGCAACACTGTCCTTGTTTAGTTTAGTCTGAGCAGAAGAGCTCTCCAACAAGTGGGTTGTGGATAATATAAATTACATTTTGTTTGACTGTATTGTGAACAATTAAAAGCCATTTTTGGGGAGTTGCCTTGCCAGTGCCAATGAGCTTATTTGCAAACTGCAAACTTCCTGCATTTGTAAAAAAGAAATCCCAGTGCCTCCTAAATGTGTTCCTTTGGAAAATTCAGCAAGAGGACACCACATTGGTACTGTTTCACCACTCACCTACCTGCATCCCAGAACAAGTTACAGTTACTGCGATCATACAAGAAAGATTTGTTGCATTTGCAAACTATTATGCTGATGCCGGTTAAGGTAAAAAAAGATTTCTATCTACTCCCCAATCTTTCTGTTAAAAAAACCTTTCTGAAAAGGCTCCTGAAAATGAAGGCTTAAGGGTGGAAAGGGTGGTGCTTCCTAGCAGCAGTCATACATTAATCCAGCTCTTAAAAATATAGACTTGGGGGGTACATAACTACCTTTCAATAGTTAAGGTTCATAGGATGTACCAGATCATTGTATGTCATGATAGTATTACCATAGTGGCATGGTGATATGCAGATAGCATAACAGACTAGTATTACGATGGCACCGTTTCCGCTCTAGTAAAATGTAACAGTTATGAATGTTTGTAACATAGGTCCACAGTGTGGCTTTTATATCGTTTCCATATCTTATAGTGCCATGATTCTTGAAAAGTATTCTTGCATTATAATCTTTAGTGTGTTTCTTTTCAAGGCCTAGTTTTATCTTGTATATCCTGATATCTTAAAGGAAAAAAAAACAACAACATAACAAAAAAAGTGAGTGGCAGGTTCAAAAACAGTTCATGTTTTTCATATGAAATACATCCATTGTTGTTGTTGCAAGAGAAGGAATCCCTCTCAAGAGTTAAACCTTTCAGCATCACATTTTAAAGGACTTTATTTTCTTCAAATAACAAAGCATATTGCACTTTATCCAGGTGTTTTAATAGGCTGGTTTTCTGTGATATCTAGTCAAGAGTATATTGATCCATACCTCTAGTAGGTAAGTAAAGCATTTCAGATAAATGTCACTTTAGTGGACTTAGTTGGATGAGTCATGTTTAACAACAATTTAAAAAGATGAAAGACTGAAGAAACCAAAAACATTATGATGTGATGTAACATGAGAAAAAACAATAAGATCAAATATAAAGCACATGTTTTACCACAAGGATACATGCACAAAGAATGAACAATTATATCAGCGAGACACATTTTTCACAATTTGAATTTGACCCTCTTTATCAAATTCATACTAAAATTCACAGTTTGAGATATTTGCATATCAATAAACCCTGGTAATGTTTAATAAATATTCAATAATCCTACATTGCACAGACTTGAATAAAAATATTAGAAGCATTCCAAATATGTGTTGATAGATTTGCTAAGCACATAGACAATTAGGATGTAGTCCGTTTTTGAAAATATTTGTAAATGTTTTAAACTTGCAAATCACTTTTAAGCAAAAAAAAAAAGTCATGCACTAACAGTAGAAAATTACTGATTTTGCAATAATACAGCACTGTACAATTATCTTATTAGAGCCCTTCAGCTTATAAATAGTGACTAACTTTCATTAAATATATGCTTGCATATATGTGTATATGTATTTCTAACAATGCTGAAGCACTCCATTTGAATTGTTACATCATTTTAATTTGTTAGGTTAATAGAGCGAATTGACAATTATACATACTTGTTACATACTTTAAGTAAAGGGCTTGCTGGCAGTGCCTCCAGTCAGTTGTACTATACAACTGCCTTGCTCTCTCGAGCTTCCCTTCTCTCTGCATTCTTCACTCCAGCCTGTGGGAGCCGAGGATCATAAGGAAGGAAGGGAGCTAAAGAGACATTGGGCACAGCTTGTAAAGAATTGTGAGCTTGTGAGTATAAGGGCCTGCATGCTTTGCAGAAGCCAAAAAAAGTAGCTTGTGCAGAGGAGTGGAGCAGCAGACAGAGGTAGAGGGTACATCTGACAGGCAGCATAGCTCAGAGGAGAGAGAACAACGGTCAATAGAAAAGGCAATAATGGTTTAGAAGTTGTTGTAATGCAATTGACCTGGCAACTTTAGACACCCTTACTGACAACAGTGCCTATAAGCATATATCTACATTTCCTAATGTTAAATCTGGTCCTGCTCATGGTTCTGGTAATAGTGATGAGCTGAAGATACCTGGGTTTGGTTCAAGGTGGGTTTGGTGAACTTCAGTTCGGATGTTGAAACCAAACCCTGTTGAAACTGAATCTTGTAAATACTCTATGGGCATTGTGTAGACTAATAGGCAAGGGATTGACAAATAAAGTACATGGAGAGGTGGGAGGTACCCTGGAGGACATGTACCAAATAAAAAAAAAAGTTTTTAAAAATTTAAAAATTCTTAAAGGGCAAAATTAAAAATAAACAATTCTTTTAAACTTGCTCAGGGAATGCCCTTAACCTACCTGTGAGGGTGCATCTGTTAAATGTATACAACCTCTATAGCTAACATTTACAAATAAATAAATTCAGTTCAAGTTTCTTGCTCCCGGCTGCTTTCTTCTGTTTGTGAATAAAGCAGCTGGGGATTATCTTCATCTGTAGAATACCGAAATCCTAGATGTGGATTTGCTATACATGTTAAGGGGGCCTCAACTCCTGAATTTTAAGTGGAACCCCATACAAAAACAAAACAAGATGTCATGGGCCCCCCCCCCCAAATGTATGCCAGGCCCTATGTGTCTGGTATGGATTTTAAGGGGGGACACCAGACCACCGTCAAGAAATCAAAATAAAATTGAAATGGGGTCCCACCCAAAATCTAATACCAGACCCTTTTCCAAGCATGCAACCTGGCAGGCCAGTTTGGGGATGAGCATGCTCCTGAATCCTGATGTATACCAGGCCACATGTCCTCAACATGGGGGTCTGCATACAGGGGACTTATCAGAATCTCAAAGCCCCATTTGAGAATAAAGCTCCTAGATGCCGACTCCCTCCTACATGAATGAGTAAGGGGTACATAGGACCCCTACTCATTCACAAAACCCCCCCCCCAAAAAACAGTATCATAATGAACAAGGCCTGTCAAAAGAAAAAAGCCTGACCCAGCCACACCGATTATTCCCTGCAATTATTCCCTGTTATACACTATCAGTGTTTGACTGCTTCATTATATCAATTGGAACTATGCCATAACTGCTTTTCAATTAATGATGTACTGGAGAGCATGGAATTGGACTGTGGCAAATCTGTCATGATTCCACAGTCCAATATTACTATAATGATTATCAATAGAAACTCATTCAGTTGCTGATTACTATGCATACTATAAAGACCTGGAACACTGTCCCACAAAATTTAACAGTGTTTCTTTTTCAAAAAGAAAATAGCTGAGGCTAGGATAGTTCAGCATGAAGCTATCTTTTCCACCTATGTATCCTTTTAGATGGTGATAGACAGTCAATAGAAATGTCACTCTTAGTGTGCCCTTGACTTCTTCAGGTTGATCACCTAAGCAACAATATCAACATCAAAGTGTCCCTGTAAATCATTTTAAATGCTGGGTGCTTTGGAAAATGTAATATTGCCTGGTTAAGCAAAATTTAGGACATGTATGAAAACATTTGATTAACTGAAATAAGCAATACCGTCACTTTGCCTTTTTGCTGCTTTTTAAAGCAAATCCAACTATACCAGGATTGCTTAATGTTCTTCAGAAACAAATTATCCTGTGCAAACAGATGTTAAGGTCATAAATAAACTTTCTCGTCTATAGTTTAACAATCAAAAGAATTATAAAAAACTCAAATGTTTAAGCTTAATGGTTCTTTTTAATAAGGACTGTACTTACTCTTGCTTTCTTCTCCAGTTCTATCATTAGCCTTTCATGCTGCTCTGCTATCGCCAATGTAGCAGAATGGACTTTCTGATAGATCATTTCTCCTTCTCTTGTCTGAAATGTAAACAGCCCCTCTCCTGTATCACACATTCTGGAATCAAATAAAAATAGACACTTATTAAAAAAATGAGTAAGGATTTCTGCATCAGTAATTAAACACCCCAAAACAATAAAACATTTCTTTAACCACTTGCCGTCCGGAGCAATTTCATACATTTGCACATGATAAAATCAGAATGTTTGGCCAGAAAACAGCTTAAGACCCCCAAACAATTATATATTTTCTGAAAGCAGGGGACCTGTAGAATAAAAAAGATGCTATTTGCAATTATTTTTATGTTCCACGGTATTTGCGCACATTTTTATCATACAAGTATTTTTAGGATAAAATACACTAAAATGAAATTTAGTGCACTGAAACAGAATATAATACCCACTTATTTGGTAAAATATAAAAGATGGGATTACGCTGGGTAAATAGGTACCAAACATGTCAAGCCTTAAAATTGCATGCATCAGTGACCCCGCAAAAAACTACAATAACCAAAACTGCACATAGGCGATGCTTTAAATCCTTTTAGGGCTCATCAGTTTAGAGTTAACAGTAAGTGATGGGCCTTGCATTATTGCTCTCACTCTAACGCTCGCGACAATATGTAACGTGTGGAGCAATTTGTGCATATTTTTTTATCTGTTACTTTAATTTTTACTATTTTTTTATACTCAGCTTTATTGCTATGACATAGGGGGCTAACAAGCCCACTATGTCATAGCAAATATAACGTGACAGATCATCTTTATGGAGACATCAGGGGTCTTTCAGACTCCTAATGTCACCTAGGGCCCGCAAAGAAGCTGATGAAGCAGAGATCTGCTTCACCGGCTTCTTCTTCTGGCTCCCGGGGCCAGAGAATGTAAACAGTGACACCGGAAGTGATGTAATGCACATCACTTCCGGGTCCAGTGATCGGAGGAGAGATCAGCGGCTGGAGACCCTCCTTGCTGGTCCTGGGCTCACACAGTAGACAGCGGAGCCCTGGTAGCCGACGGCAGCACCGGCGGTGGTGGAGGGGACACACACGCTGCAGCACCGTACAAGTGATCGGCGCCTGTACAGACGCCGGATCACCTGTATTTAAACAGCAATCATCTGCAGCAGCAGCCATGTTCTTGGTATAACCATTTCCAGCGGATGACGTGTATTTATGTGACCCCGCTGGAAGTGGTTAAACGTAATTGTTTTATGTGCAAATATTCAACTGCATATTTTTGACATCTTCATTATGATCATTTGTAACTATGTTTAAAATATATATTGGCTAAAAAGAAGATTCTCTTTACTTATCTTTCCGCTGACCTATTTTTTGAAAGGCCTCTTCTCTGATCATTGACCGCTGCAGATATCTGACCAGTCTGATGGGCCAAATACCTTTTTCCCCAACTGCACTCATTGCTTTCTCTCACCAGCTTGCACATCCTGTAGTGACATGTGAGCCAGCAGGAGAAACCACAGTGGGAAATGTGGAATGCATGTAGTGCAAGCAGCGAAGACACAATGTTTCAACAAATGGGCCACTGGAATGGTAAATATAGTGACTTTTTCATTTAGCAGGTATACATTTCTATATAAGTGTGCTTACATGGTCACATTAACCTTTCTTTTAGTACTTTTTATTGAGCATTTAATGAAAGCAGGTGCCACCCCTGCAATTTTATGTTATTCTATTTTGTCATTCACATTTGTTGAATAAACCCACAGGGATCTACTACTTTGAACAGCAAGCAGATCTCACTGTCTGTTGTTTGAGGCTAATAAGATGTCTCCCACTGAGGAGATAGTTGAGATTATGCGGTGGTAGTAAGCATTATGTGATATACTGTACACAACTCTTCATTCCACAAACTGAAGTTGAAATGCTGCACAAACTCTGCTGCTGAAATAAATACATCCAAGGTACATATGAGTGAGATTTTATCATATCTACAATCCATATAAATTTGTAGCATGAGATAGCTTGCCCTCATTTAATCTGTGATCACTGCTTACAGCAAGGTATATGGCTACATAACCACTTCTAGATCATGGGCATGTGGAAACAATAAAGAAGCCAGTACTTCTGCTTGAATAAAGGGAATATCTTTATTGTATCCTCAGTTAACTCAAATGCATTGTTGGTTTTCTCCATCTATACAATACAGATGGCCCTTTTATTCAACTAGGAGTTCTTTTACACCATATAACCATGACCCTTAGTGTTGTAAGTGGAAAGGAGCTGAACTTTGGCATTCTATAAAGTTTTTTTCTTCATTTAGCTGAATGCCTGCATTTTATTGTACTCTAAACAGCCAATATCTTCAGTCATGTTTAACCCTTTTCTTTGCAAACTTCACATAAATGCAGTCCATTAAAGAAAGGAAAAGCAGATTTTGAGTCAGCTATGAAATTGCAAATATAGATGTGTATGTAAAAGAAAAGGATATTTTAAAATAATTTAGCCTAAATCAATAAATTTATGCTAAAATTAAAATTAGAAATATAGCTTCCAGGAATGTTCAGGCTTAAGATCTCATATGAAACACAGATCTTGTCATACATGTCAATGTGTAACAACTCTGCTACACAGGCCTAGGATCACAACTGCGGAGTGGGGATTTCACGGTCAGGTCAGCAAGTGGTCCCTTCAGCACTTTTAACTAAGAGTTCAAGACCTTTAGATCATATCTGACCGTGGATTTGAGTTAAGTAGTAACTATGGACTAGAACTGACGGGGTTAATGCGAGAGAGTGACACCCGGTGGTGAGCTCTGGTGTTACACTTGCTATGATTAGTGGATAGCACACATAGGGATCTTATCAAGCAGATATGTAATGATTGAGATGAATAAAGATGTTCTCTTATAATGTCACATACATGTCCAGTATAACATCAGAAGGTTGTAGACTAGCTATAACAGTCTTAAGCACACACTATACTTGTCAAATACTGAATTGATTAATCAAGATATGCAGTTCCAAAATGATCTGAGTTAATGGCAGACTAGCCCAGATACTTGCTGTTTAGGAGCCTCTATCTGAAGTCCCTTTGATGGTCTCCTGTGGCTGAGTGTTACTTGCACCTAGGTGTCACTCCGCAAGGTTAGATGGAATTTGGATGAGAGGAGCCGTTTCAATGGGGTTCGCCCACGCTGGTGTGCTGCGGCAATGCTGCTCTCGGTCCTTTACGGTCTGCGGTTGCAGAGCGTGAATCTTCGGCGTTCACTGTTGCAAACAGTAGGATGCCGAAGATTTGTTTGGCCTCGACTTAAAAAGCCTGTTGCGCCTGTGCCGAAGGAGACGATGCCCGAGGTGCCCGTGCGCCGAGTGGAGAGAGCCGGGCCCGATGTGCGCATGCGCGGTCACGGATCGCGATCCCGGAACGGAAACCGGTAAGTCTCTTACACAATGCAGGGGATTAAACACAAATATTAATGAGTCTTGCTTTAAACCAAAAAGCCAACTGTACTGGTGCATCTTCCTTTATCAGCAGGCAGGATGGTGATACTCTTGTCTTTCTTGAGGGATGTGACCGCCCTCCTTTCTTCTGTAGTCAGGTTTGACGGAGGTGGTTTGGCACTGGCCAGGGCTTCATGCACTTTTAGGCGAAGTTGTTCAGCCTTACCCTGTGGCACTTCGTTACTGTGGATTGAGGCCTCAGTACCTGAGATAATATCCACTACAGGGATGGACCTGGGTATGATTGCGAAATTCAAACCTTTAGCAAGGAAATCCATCTCGGCCTGGGTGAGAACCCTGTCTGAAAGGTTCTTCGCCCATTTGTCTTTGTTCTCCAATGTCCCCCTTTCCTCCTTCTGCCTCCAAGTTAGTTCTTCCCTAGTATGGCTGTTAGGGGATAATAAAATGGAGAACTTCTTCTGTTGCCTCTCCTTGCCCTTAGTGTGCTGAGCTAGCTGTGCATGTACCGTGAAATCTGTTACTGTCCTCCAAGTATCAGCAGGTAGCTGCAAAATCAGGCTCTCTTCTAGCTGATTGATAGTACTGTACTGTATGTTTTAAGGCATCAACTGTGAAATAGGTCTGCTGTACACGTTCATTTAGCAATTGTTTCTGGGCCTTATGTAGTATCAGCTTGGCTTTGTGGCCCTTTACTGTGGAGTCCAAACGTGTGCTACAAGGTACCAACCCCTGTTGTTGGCATCTGACGTTAAATCGCAGGTGGTTTCTATAGTCTGCCAATTTTCTTGCTGTCTTTTTATATTCACGTACAAGTTTAAGGTTTTTCTCCCCAAAATGTGTCGCAATATGTCTGTGAAGGTCCTCATTCATCCTGTGCATGGTATATCTGTATAAAATAAGTCAAGGCAACTGGACTTGCTGTATTTTTCTTGAAGTCCAGTTGCCTTGACTTATTTTTTACAGCTATACCATGACCTGGATGAATGAGAACCTTCACAGACAACTGTGCAGGGTTTGCAAATATGAATTTGGAAACAACATAAAATTCTAGGTAGATGCCCAATTGCACTAAATTATATTGAAGCCACATATTTTGAATATTGACTAATTAAAAATAAATATTTAAATCATATCTAGTGGGTGAGATGCATGCAAATGTAATCGTTTTGTCATGTAATTTCATTGATTACATGAGATGGGTAAACAGAAATTTGCCTTGCATTTTAGAGTATCCCTAATTTACATATTAACCTAACAGTAAGCTTATAATTCTCTTATATTTTGTCAACCTTTTCCTTTTTTCATCTGCTCATTCAAGCTATAAACTAAACTTTTGTTAGTTCCTGACTAACAGGGTGCTACCTAATGGTTTCTCCAAAACAAACAGGCAGTGCCTTTTTAGTGTTCTGTCAGCGGTTACTCTTTTCCCCCCAGCAAGAGAAAGAGGGAGAGCGCTGAGCATCAGTTAGCTCACATATAAAAAGGCTTGTGGACAGCTGAGACTATTGAGGGCTGGCTAATAGGTAAGATGTAACCTAAATGGATATTATAATAATAAGATGGAGGCTTTATCCCACCCAAAGCTCTACAAAGACTCTGGTTATTAAGAGAAAACTAAAAGATTAATCACAAAAATC